TATCTTTAGGCAGAAACAGGCTCTCCATTTCTCCAAGATATTCCACTTATTTCTGTCCTCCTTCATTCTATATTTATATATTTATAGTAGCTCATTTGCACTTGAAACATTCCATATTTATTTAGGATTTAGTCCAAGTAAGTTTCATCAAAATAAAGCAAGAGTGAGAAAAGAATTAGGCTTTTTAATTCTGTAAACACAATTATAAATGCAGGAGCTCACGAATTAACTCTTTGAGAGAAAAACTGAAATTACAGTTTCATTCGATTCACAGTGATTCCAAAGTACAGCTCCTCTGATTTTTTCAATTGCACTGCACAGAACATTATAACACATGTGTAGTTAACAAGGCCTCAGCTCAGTTAACTCCATGCTTAATATCCCAGCAAGCTACAGACTTGTACCTGTACCGTATGGACCTATGCAATCCCACTCAAGTCAACCAATGTCCATTGAACTCACTGCTCATACTGGTATTTGTTGAGGACTTTCAGACTACTGATACCTCGGTCAGTGCTGCTACTGCTCGAGGAAAGCTGTCTAAGGTCCAGAAATTGTCATTAAAAGGCCAAATCATGCTTTTTTACCTCCCAAACAAAATCTCCAAAAAAGCTTCAGGAAGAAAATCTCAAAGAGAAGACAGTCCTGGAAAAAAAAAAATATGTATCCTGACCCTACTCTGGAGAAACCCTATTCTGTTTCAGACCTCTCTGCCATGAAGTTTCAACATGTATTTTTGTTTTGACTTTGCTACACTATGCATTGGTAAAATAATAACTTTTTTTCAAATGGAGTTTTCACAAAATACTGGTTACATGAAAGGTATAATTAAATACCTGGTCTAAAAACTCAAATGTCATTCTGGAATTAAGAACATAAGAGGAACTTTACCCAACTCTTTAGTTTGGTAAAGGAATTGCTCTAGGATGAGGAATACACAAAATTCCTGTTCCTTCTAATTCACAGCACCGGTTCCCATCTCTTATCACTTTGCATGGCTGAACTAGCCCAACTTGTGGATATTTTTTGTCTTAATCAGATTTTAAAAGTTTATTAATAAGAACATGGGAAAATGGAGCCAAATCCTGCATTCCTCAGTTAAAACCTCTACTGAATTCACAGAGAGATTTGCCGGCATGAAGACTAAGCAAGAATTGTCATACCTAGAAGATATTAACTGGTGACTGAGATGAAGTGCACACCTGCATTTGCTAAAATTAAAAAAAAAAAAAACATACTGAAATGTACCCCAGCTACACTGCATTGTGCAGCAGTACTTGGTATTTCATATTCCCTTCTTACTTGCTAATCATAGTTTTTATTCCATGTCACATAAACAACTCGTTCTTTCCTATTTATTGTCACAGATACTGTGAAATACCTGCTGTTTAGTGTGTTCTGCAGGTGTCCCACTTTCTTGTCAATGAAGTCAATGGCATGCCTTCACTGACGTCCAAAAGAGCAGGATTTGTCTTGAGGTGCTTAATCCAAAGTGAGACTCCCTCTTAATTCAGTAAACTTTGGATCAGTAAGTGGCAAGACACGCTCACATCCCAAAAAACCAAACCTGAATGTTTATCTCACATTCCTAATCTTTTCCGTGAAAGGGATTAAAAAGCAATCTGTCCCTGCCAACAGCTTAGGTTCTATGCTGCATCTAAGTGACTGAACAGGCGTCTACAGAGTAGCAGGGTACATTGCACTGTTTTCATCTGCTTCTTTAGAAGTTGGAAAGATAGTAAAACATTAAGAGTTTTAGGCTTCATGATCCTATTTCCCTGTTTTGTTCTCGTCTTTCCATTCTAAAAATCCCTTAATTCTTTCCTTCCCAGGAATCATTTCACCCTTAAACTAGAAGACAGTCAAGTTGCTCCTTGCCAAGTGGACACCACGGCTGCGTGCAGCGGCTGGCAGGTAACGCCGCAGGAGCGGCAGCTCTAGCCCCCTTGTCTCTGGGGACTCTGCATGCCACCTTGGTGATGCAGATGAGCATTTTTATTTCTACAGAGGAAAGAAGGTGGTTCTGTCTCTTGTTACAGGACAAACTAGCAATATGCTGCATATTGAAGCAAAAGGATAGAAGTCTGAAAATGGCATTATCCAAATGCTTTAGATAAGAAACTTGCCACAAAACCTAGCACGTTCTGTGACGACACCAAAGTGTTTGAAAGCACGTGAGGCTGATTCCCAATATACTTGGCTTTACATGAAACTCTGCTTGTTTGCTTATATTTCAAAACTCTAAATGTGGTGCAACAGTTTCTGCTCTCCTTTATGCTATGCATCCTTTTGCTATACAATCATGTTATTGTCTTGTTTGAGATGCCATGGGCATAATTTTGGCCCATAAGTATATTTATACACTAAGGATCATTAGAAATAGAAACTGAGTTCATGACCTCCTACTGCTACGATCACAGCAATCACAGGAAATGGAAATAACTTAGATAGAAGGCAATTTAAATAATAAAAAACTAGCTATCCATTGCAACATGGAATTCCCTGTAGCAAGAAAGCATAGACCTGTAACATTCAGTCAAGCCAGGAGAGGAGGGAAAAGGGAAGTAAAAAGGTACAAAATAAATATTTAGAAATCGTGCAAAGTGAAAGAAACAGCTACCTTCTTTTTGAAAACTTGAGAAGAAATCTGACCTGAGTGGCCAAACAGGGATTTTCTTAAAAGCTCAGAGCTGACCTAACTATTTTCAAGTAAATCCGTGATGGGACACTGCAATCACTGGTATAAGTTTAACTGTTCTGTATTTACACATTTATCTACCAGGTCAAAGAACGATCAAATGCTAAGCAGGGCCATAGTCAAAGAACTTAAGAATTAGTATTTTAGTTTTGCCCTGTTCATCTGTTACATGTTATTGTCTTGATACTCAACTTAAAATATTATTCGAAAAACATTAATTAAATATGTGTCTTAAGCCCTACGGGCAACAGACTTCACTTCTAAAAAGAAAGTAAGAAAAGATTCTACAAGCAAACACTCAAATTTTCAGTCTCCTCAAATCATATCTCTGCTCCCCTCAAATCTGTTTACCAAGTACGGTGTAGGATGTGATGAGGAATTGTATATTGTTGGATCGTCTCCTAGATCACACGCAGCGTGTCTCACTCACTTGGCTCCACGAGGGGCTCAATCACTGCCCCTCACTCCCCACCGCAAGTGGGGAAGCCGGATCCGCTGCTGAGCTGCTGTTTCACACCGCAGTTGTACTTCTGTGCCCGGGAGGAGGTGAGGTCTATTACAGATCACATCACTAATGCTTTAAACAGTGCTGTACTGAAGATGTGCAGGACTAAGAAGCTGGTCGCTTGACTTCTGCAGGCTGCGTGGCAGCTGTGTCACAGAAGTGCTTGAAGGGGGGCTGATGGATGCTAGCTTGTACCAGGGGATCATGGTGTGTAACACAGCCTCCCTGAACCCTTTTTGGCACAACTTAATGCCCATCTGCTTCCCCTCTGCTCCTTCTCCTGGAGAGGAACATATGGCCCAGAATATGAATCTCAGAAACAGAAAATGTATTCACAGAGTTTTCTAAAATATTCTGAATACCCTCCTTTTTTTTCCTTGTCAGCTTTTACTCCAGTTCTGAACCTTATATTCTGGCATCATAAATAAAATTCTGGCACAAGTCAGTCCTTGCATAATCAGTTTTGCAGTCCACAGTGAAAAACAAAAAAAAAAAGTGTGTATTTTGGAGCAATAGTAAGAAATTGTAAGATTAGTAAGAATCTAATAGTAAGAAATTATTATTGTAAGGAAAATCCTTACTAGGATTTTTTTTTTTGTCCAGAACACTTATAAATTCCACCATTATATTTTAATACTTACCTTAGTCTTTTCAAGGGTGTCATCCAATACAAATATTAATGATAGAAGAAAATAAAAGCCCAGTTAAGCTTAACATGATCATCAGAATACTGAACACTTCTACCGGGGAAAAACTTCAACAATTTTCTTCATACTAAATAATACCTCACATCACAAATAGAACCAATGAAGTTCCTCAAGAAAATCTATATTTTAAATAGCAGTACCAAAATCTCATGCTGTACAGTCTTGCTTCCCTAGCAAGGGTAAACTTTTCCATGGTATAAATGAGACTTTTGCCAACTTGCCTGTTTAAAGATGTGAGTACTGGGCCAGGATTATAAATTCATTTATATCACAGAATCACAGAATTGGTTGGAAGGGACCTCTGAGGATTATCTAGTCCAACCCCCCTGCTCAAGCAGGGTCCTCTAGAGCACGTTGCCCAGGATCATGTCTAGATGACTTTTGAATATCTCCAAGGAAGAAGATTCCACAAGCTCTCTGGGCAACCTGTTCTTGTGCTCAATCACCCTCACAGTAAAGAGACTTTTCTTCATGTTCAGACAGAATATACGTTTTAACACTTTAATGTTTATACGGAGAGCTAATGTACGACTGTAAAAGCGTATTGTAAGAGATAACATACTGCAATCCTTGACCAGTGTAAAACCATGACAGGAAGTGGCTGTTGACAATATTTGATAACTAATTCAGATCACCTTATGAGACAGTGATATCACACCTATACAACGCCTGTAATAGCACAAGATTCAATACTGATACTCCAAAACAAGCGTGGACTTAGCAGAACATTTCTCATAACCAAATGCTTTTCTAGCACGGAAGTAAGTAGTGTTCTGTAGTGATATTTTTGTCAAAGACTTAAATATGAAGTCCATTAACAATCACACAGATATATATATTTCTGCTTATACACAACAAATCTGAAATGTAGTACTTGCCTAAAATCAACTGAAATCACCAGGTTTCCTTCTGCTGATTTCAGTGGGTTTTAGATATTTCATTGCGCATATTCACTTCATGATATGTTGATTCATAGATTCTTCTGTTTTCTAAATATTTTAGTGAAAGTGATTGAATCATGCGTGCCAAATATATGCATCATGTACACCACTTTCCAACATCTTTGTGTTAAACGTACTGTTCACCCTACCTTTGCTGCCACAGATGAGTTGGGTTTCTCCAGCAAGTCCCAGAGTTTCTTCCTTTTCTCTGGGCAGCAGGTATTATCAAACTCTTCCCCTTCTCTCTCTCGCATGGTCTCTGCCTCTCTCCTCAGCTCCTCATTCATCTGCTCTTTCTTTTGATGGTATCTTGCCTGGCAGCAGGATTCTAGATATATCTCATCAATCCCCCAGTAATCAAGCTCTTGGCCAAAAGAAAGAGCACACATTTCTTCCATCATATGTAGTTTCCCTGTCCTGTAGAAATTCAAAATGGAAGTGAAAGCTCCTGGATGTCGATCGAAAAAATACTCATTTTCATTTAGATTATAGTCATCACATACTTCCAGCAGAGATTCATGAGTATTGCAGTCTCTGAGCTTTCCTAATCGTGTCCTTGGAAGTCTGTCCAAAGTCCTCCACAGCACTTCATGGTTGAGTCCACCTACATTTATTTTAACTCTCCGTGAGCAGGCTTTGCTCCTAATGATCTCCACTGGTTCTGGAGGCAGAGAAAGGGTGGACCTTGAAGACTTTTTGTTCATCCCTGGTGAAGCTTTCTCAGCCATTTTGAAAAGGATGCAGTTGTAAAGCCAGAGTCTTTATGAGAATGAGCTTGGAAACTACAAATACTTGGGAAGAGTCCTCTTCAGACAGACAGACCCATTCTTGAAGCTGGAAAAGACAAAAAGTTAGAATCTTGCAATGTATAACATGTTCCCCAAACTACTTGTTTGTAAGATTCTCTCTCCCCACTTCCACTCGTTCATATGCAGATGAAAATCTAATGATGGTAATTTGCTCACTCTAAAGTGAGACTCTTTTGTGGAAGTATAAGGAACCATTGGAACAACTGGTATGGCTAAGAGCATTATGTCTAAGCAGAGAAAAAAAAATCACTGGAACTTCTGAATTCATGAAAATCAGATATGACAGTTTGTACAGAAGGCTTGTTTTTTGGCTTTTTTTGTTTTTTTTATCAGCTTCTGACACAGCCATGTCAGCTAAATCTCATTACTTACCAATTCATTTCTGAGGTAGACTAACGGAAAGATTGTAGGGATATCCACAAAGACAAAGTGCAACCAGGGCTACCTTCCATTTATTGAAAAATTCAAATTTGGGAGATTTGCTCTGAACCTGAATTAAACAATTAGAGCATATCAAAATCTCCTGCGAAGCCAAACCACCTGCCTCCACCTCCCACTCCAAATCTCGATTTACTATATCACTTCACAGGCAAATATTACTGACCAATTTAACTTGCATTCATGATAAGTCGAACTTTCTAGCACCAAACACTCCTGATTTTTTTACAAATAGGTCAAAAGAATCCTAATGCCTCTGCAGCCAACCGAACAGTCATATCTGTTATATAAGCAAGGCTTGCACATACCATTCTCTGACTCCTCAGAAAGGCTCTTCACTGTCGCACTTCTTTACCTGTTAAGTTACTGCAGGAACATGATTGCGCGACAGCAACCAACAACCTCAGTTTTAATAATTCGCAAGATCATCCTCACTCACTGTGCCTCGTGCTTCAACGAACTCTTAAAGTGCAGCTGTTCATCATCAAATTTGGAATACCAGTATCAGACAGGAAGGAAACCCACCCCCTAACTTTACTATGTTCAGTTATCTGGTACTGTTTAAATAATATCTTAGCAATGGTAAAAGGACCCAAAGGGAGGAATATTAAGAATGCTTAGACAAGCTTCTCTTATGATATAGTAAAGTTCTCTTTAGTAATTTCCACTGCTTGAGTACAGACCTTCTCCTCATCCCATTCTCCATAAATTGACACTTCAAAAGCCTACACTTTCTTTTGAAGTGAAATACCTAATTTTTTAATAGCATTTGCTGTGAACAAGACCAAGAATATGATCCTGTTCACAGAGTAGGTATGAAGGTTGTGGCAAGATGGGACTGTTACCCATAAATACATCAGGGTAAACACCAGGGATGGAGAACTATTTGTATTAGACCATGATGGCACAAGAAAAAATGAGTATAAATCCACCATGAAAGAAAAGTGGAAATATCGGGTGGAATTACAAGGTTGCTAAAACCAGATCCTTACCAGAGCAGTGAGGATCCAGAATAGTCCTCTACTAAAAGTACAGAGGAAAAATAAATAATTATTTCAAGATCGAATCACAGAATCACAGAATGGCAAGGTTGGAAGGGACCTCTGGAGATCATCTAGTCCAACCCCCCTGATCAAGCAGGGTCATCTAGAGCATATTGCCCAGGATCACATCCAGACGGGTTTTGAATATCTCCAGCGAAGGAGACTCCACAACCTCTCTGGGCAGCCTCTTCCAGTGCTCTGTCACCCTCACAGTCAAGAAGTTTTTCCTCATGATCAGGCAGAACTTCCTGTGGTTCAGTTTGTGCCCGTTGCCTCTTGTCCTGTCACTGGGCACCACGGAGCAGAGTCTGGCCCCATCGTCTTGACACCCTCCCTTCAGATACTTGCACACATTGATGAGATCCCCTCTCAGTCTTCTCTTCTCCAGACTGAACAGGCCCAGCCCTCTCAGCCTTTCTTCAGAGGAGAGACATGCTCCAGTCCCCTCATCATCTTCATAGCCCTCCGCTGGACTCTCTCCAGGAGTGCCACGTCTCTCTTGGACTGGGGAGCCCAGCACTGGACACAGCACTCCAGGCGAGGCCTCCCCAGGGCTGAGTAGAGGGG